CGCTCCGAACGGGAGGTGGTTAAGACATGTGTTTCGGATGTCCACGCTGTCATCTCAAACATCCTGGAAGCACATGATCCAATATTAAACTTTTCGGTGAGGCGATCCCTTGCTGAAAAGCTCTCTCCAGCCATTGATCTACTAAACAAGGTCGAAGGCCTCCCAAGTTTCGTGTCCATTCCGAAACAAGGGGGAGATGAGAAGACAAGTTCAAAACCACCTCCTTCCTCAAAAGCTACTCATACAACTGAACCATCTTCAACTCATCAAATTTTAAGTTCAGGTATGAAGAACAAAGGTAAAGATATAGCTGAGGACGAAGATGAAGAAGGCGACAAGGAGACCATTGCCGACATTTTGAAACGAAAGAACAGTCGCAAGGTTGGTGATGATGCCAGTCGTGAGGCACGTGAGGCTGCTGTAGCCGAACGTAAGCAAAAAGAAGCCCACGATCTCCTTGAGAGCCGAAAGACTCTCTTCCCTGCCTGGACCAGGGAACGCTTGATCAAAGAGGCCATCGAAACTCCCAGCATCCTATGGCTCGAGCCGGTCATATCGTTCGACTGCAGCAATTCTGTCGATTCGCAGTTCGATATGCCGCTGACTCGAAAGGCGTTTATCTTTCACGTCTTCTCTAATATTTTTGATGTCCCTCACCCGAACGCTGAGCTTGACAGGGAGCTCATTGACTTTTACCTGAAGGCTGCTCGTCCTCAATTCCTTACATGGAGCGCTCAGAAGATTGTCAATGTTCGGGTGCTAAAGCCTTACACTGAGGGACGCTTCATAAACGTTCGTTCAAACTGATTCGGGGATCTGCAAAATCTGTTCATCTCATCTCTCTAGCAGATCTACCGAATCTAAATCCTCATGATTGGATCGTCTTGTATAACATCCTTTTGACCAATGAAGCTGAATATGGTCCCATTCTAGACCATGTCAAAAGGATGTTAATCTGCTATATCATGGAGGTTGCCCTTATGGATCAGGAGGTCGCCACAGTCTTCAAGAAGAAACCCAAAATTGCTCCTGTGGGATCGGCCAGTGATCTAAATCAAATGCAGCTGGGCAAGATTGATCCGAGACGTAACACAGTTATGTTCACTAGAGCGGAAGGACAGAAATGTCTCTTCGCTTTAGCTGATAAGCATCTTTACACCACAACTTGCTTGGAGCATGTGCTTTTTATTGTTAAACGGTGTAAAGAGAATTCGGCTGATGATGTTAAATATTTTGAAGATATGATCAAATGGTACATCCGGTTTAGACAGACAATTCTTTCCATCACCAAGTGTCTGTTTAGTACCGTGAAGAAGGTACCAGTCTCGGCTGCTGGCCCAAGTAATAAATAAAGATCTCGCTCCAAATTGACGCAAAGGGGGAGATTGTTGGGCTTAGAAGATTGCGTCTTTTGGGCTTGTTTGTTTATTATTTTTTGTATTATGGTTTGGGCCTGTCCAACCGTGTGTCTTTTATGCTTTGTATATAAGCTTATGCTTGCATGCATATTAGGTTAAGGTTTTAGAGATCTGAGAATACGATATTTTCCAGACGACAAAAAGGTTTATTTGATCATACTTGTAACCTTCCAATCCTCTACAGTTGATGTTCTTAATCGAGCTCTTCTGAGGATTTTGTTTTAATCATTCGACTCGTTTGATTCAATCTTGTTCTATTATTTTACTGTGTTTATACCGTCATTGTTTATTTGCTTGTTCAAGATCTAATCGATCTTCATAGATTAAAAGAAACTTTAATCTCATCAGGCATGTTTAGTGCAAGTCAATGGCAAACCTCAAATTTGCAAACATGCATAATCTGGCTATTGTTTTGGCGGATCTTCCAGTTGTACACTATGACTTCAAGTCGATGATCCACAGACTCAGGGAATGCTGTCTGGCATCAACCATCACTGTGAATCCGGTTATCTACCAGAATTTGATCAGAGAGTTTTGGGCGACTGCTAAGATGGAAATGGATGATGTTGGTATTGTTGTTATTAAAGTTGTCGTAAAAGGACGCGAGATTGTGATCACTGAGAACTTTGTCAGAGATGTGTTGCTGATTGACGATCAACCAAGTTTTCCCACGGAGATTGGGATTGAGGATGCTCAGAAAATTCAAAGGAGGATCGGATATGAAGGCACTTCTCCTCCAACTTTGAAGAAGCTCTTACCTCTATACTAGAAATTTTTGGACATGTGTTCGTTAGCTGCATTTCAGGAAGAAGATCAGGAGCTGATGAAATTTCTCTGAGGAATACTTGAGTGATTGTTTCTCTTGCTGCTGGAGTAAAGTTCAACTTTTCAAGATTTATCTTGGATGAGTTTGTGGTAAAAATCAGAGCCTCAACCTGGGATACTTTCTTATTGTATCCCAAGTTCATTCAATTGTTTATCAATACTCAGTTTCCAGATATGGTGAAGGAAGGCGATACTCTTGATATGAAATCTCTGGGTCCTCACACTGTAGGGATCATCAATCAGAACCGTAAAGGAAAAATTATCTTTCAAGGAAAGTATCCTATGCAGAAGTTTGGAAAGTTTGCTGAACTAAATGAGTCCTCAGAATCTTATGGATCCTATGACAAGGCGTCTTCTGAGCCTGCATCTTCAGAGAAATTATCTCCAAACGATGATGTTATTACAGTATCTGATGATGAGAATACCGAAGAAGAGGAGACTCCGACTCCTGAATCTCATGTGGCGGAAGAACATGGTTTAGTGTCTGCTCATGCTCAAAGTGATTATGAAGGAATGATTGTGGAAACTGAGATAGAAGCTGAAGGAGATAAAAATTATTCTTTTGATGATCTTGATCTTACTGGATTTGACAATGATGATATTGTTGCGTCTCTTTCAAGTAGGTCTAATTTTGTGACAAATGAGAACCTTGACTCAATTCTCAACAATGTCGATGAAGTTGTTCCTCCAACGATAGAGACAAGGAAGCCCGATGAAGTTCTTGAAACTACACCTCCTACCACAAACCAAATGGCGACTGCTTCCACTCCAATGGAGATGGTTATTGGATTTCCTCCTCCTGTTTCTGTTCCTCCTACTATAGAGCCATTTGTGAGTGATCTTACAACAACACGGATTGGTTAACTCCCATTGAAAAGAAGAATAAGGGATCCAAGACAGAGTGTTCTAAATGCAAATCTTGTTAGTGGCCTTCCAGTACCACCTACCACTACTCCTAATCTTACTACAACCAAGTTCTTTACTGTAGGACCAGACACCACTTTTGAAGTTGGTGGATCTTCTTTTCCACCAGGGTTTTCTCCTCCTCGGCCTGATCACGATGCTGCTTCTGCAAGGTTAGCCATGCATTTGGCTGAAGAGCAATTTTTAATGCCCCTCTCATGGTAAAGGTATTTCTATTGGGGATGATAGTTCTGGAGAAGAAAATTTCACTATCCCTGAGTTGCAGAAGGAGATCTCAGTACTCAGTCAGAAGAATATTGAGCTTGATATTTGTGTTTCAGATCTTCAAATGGAAAATGCAAAGCTAAATGTTCAAGTCTCTGATCTTCAAGCATATAATTCAAAGCTCGGTGCTCAAGTAGCTGATCTTCTTGAAGACAAAGCTCTAAAGTCAAAGCAGATTTCTGATCTTCAAGACCATTTCAATCTTTTAACTTCAAGTTATTTTGAGCTAAAGAAGAAGCTTGTAGAAGATTTGGTGAAAAATATCAAACGTCTACTGATGAATATAAAATTAATGTACATACTCAAGCCTTTCCAGTTACCATGCCAACTACTCAGACATCAAGGGTTGTTAATCGCTTTGAGGAGGAGCCTTCCCAAACTCCTCATGTTTCAGCAAGAATATGTGATGCGTAGGAAGAAGATGCTAATAGGGGACAACTATTATTTAAAAGAAACCCTAACCAGAATGCTTCTTGGGATAAACCAAAAATTATTGTTACTGATCTTGAGGTTGTTCGGTTTAGAGATACCTTTGGTGATAGATCTGGGATTGTTTCCTAGGGATATCATGATCCTCTTAAGATGTGGATTGTGCTAAGAAAGAGTGGCAACTCTGAGCTTTACAAAGATAGTCATGATTTCAACTCATGGACTAGGGTGGATTTAACGGAATTATCATGAGCTCCTTTTTCGAATATCACATATAATCCACAGGCGACCCATTTCAAGCACTTTCTTAAGGATCAGGTAAAGAGGGGATTTCCAGCCATGAAGATTGTTGAGTCTATTATGTTATAGCATCCTGATATTCTTGATCCTAAGACTGACAAACATCTTCAAGTAGTGATGTGGCCTGCAACTAAACAGGTTAAACAATTTCATGTGCTTCAAAACTATCAAGATGGATCTCTGGCCTCAATGGAGTGTTGGGTTTTCGATGAGATTACATCAGATGCGGTAATCAAGCTTAAGAATGGATGCATCCGTCTCTATGACCGAAGAGACTTGTTGCAATTCCGAAAATGGGACATTCATCACCTGAGCAATTTTCAGATATTAGTTGCAAAGGATATTTTTGAGGATGCTGCGAAAGTGTATACGACCATGGTTGCTGAGATTCTTAATAAGCATGTGGAATTGGGCGATGGGGCAAGCAAATGTTATGGTAGTCAACAAAGTTTAACTTCGAGCTAGCACCAAACCAAGGGGGATATTGAAGGGCCTAATTAGTGGTTTGGACTAGGCTTTGCATTGTAATAGTGGTTTTGTGTTGATAGAGTATTTTGGTAGGCTTACTGAATCTTTACGGGTCTGTAATGAGTTAAAGCCATAAACACTTTACAGCCATAAACTGTTTCTAATCATGGTTCCCTATATATAGAGGGTTAGTCAGTCGTATGTAGTTGTTGATGCCTAGCAGTTCACGGTCGTATATCGATTTGTACCAGACGTTTTCAGTAATAGAACGTGTGCAACCTTGATTTCTTTTTCTTTTCTACTATTGCTCTCTTTTCTGCGATTGTATTTGTTGTTGATCACTGGTAAGATCCATTCCCAGGACCTTACAAGATGGCAGCAGGTGAAGTTAAAATTTTTGGTAATATTGAACAGTTGTTGGTTGATTTAAAGGGGTTAGTTTTGAAGTTTGGGTTTGTATCCTCTTTGTTGATGACTCCAGAGCTTCTGTCTAAGAAGTTTAAGTTGTTGGAGTTAACTATACAAATGGAACTTGCACCACTTGTGAAGCTCATAACCTTAATGCCAACAAATGCCACGCCTGTTAACACAGGGGTGCAAGGGGGAGACAATGGTGGTGTTGGCATTGGATCGAAAGTTGGTACAAGAGGAAGTGATTCGGGAGAAACAAATGATGATGTGAAAGTTGTTGGAAAAGTTTTTACTACTCAAATTCCAACTTCATTACCAAAAACTTCCACAGTAACAACGTCATCAACAACAACAAAACCATTAACCAAAGGGATTATGATTGGACCGGCAGGTGGTGGATCAAGTTCTTCGAAACCACCTCCTACAACTGAAGAAATGCAGAATAAAGGAAAGGGTAATTTTACTGAGCCTTTGGTTAAAGAAAAGACAACTGCTATTGAAAAGGAGATGGAGAAACAGAGACAAATCCAAAGTATCCTTTGTCAAAGGGAAAATGATCCTATTGGTCTCAACAAAGGTGATCCTTCGAAGCATTATACTTATGAGTATATTGAAGCCTTGTTTGTGAAAGGGGAGATCCATAATTTTGAAAAACTCCCTAAGAAGAGTTATGATACAGAGAACACTAATTTCAATAAGTTGGACTTTCCTATCAATCAGATGATTTTTTTAGATGAGTAGTTTTGTAACGCCCCGACTATCAGGCATTAATTTTACAACTTTATTTTTCATATTGAAAGTCTACTCGATGAGTTGGATGCCATGATTTGTCAAGTAGGAACGTTTTTGGCCACGTGTTTAAGTGACCAACTCGGTGAGTCGAAGGACACGACTCGATGAGTAGGAGCTGAAGGATGAAACCCTAATTTTCAGGGTTTTACACCCTATTTAAAGGGTCATTAGCCTCCTTTAGCCTCCCTTATAGCCTCTTGTGAGTCCAAAAACCCTAAATTGCCATTTTCTCTCCATACTTGTGTTTTTTAAGCTTGAAAGGTGGATCTTGGGGAAAGGAGCTTGAAGATCAAGAAGTTTGAGGCAAGGAACGTGTGCGGATCTGAAGTTTACCCCAGTTTAGCATCATTTGAAGGTATCAAGTCGTTACCTTGATCTCCTTATAGCTAGATCCTTTTATATTTGGGTTTTAGGGCCATTTTAACATGTTGGTGTTCCATTTCGAGTGATGAACCAAGATCTTAAGTTGCAACTTTAGATCTAGGCTCATCTTGATCCCTATAATCATAAAGTTTCAGCCTTTAGCATGCTAAAATATTTCCCTTTCCAATAACCTTTCTTTAGCTTGATTTGAGCCATAATCACCTTGCATGTACGTAAAGTTTGCAACTTTACGTAAGAAGTATGCCTTAGGAGCTTATATCTGCATTATGGAGCTTTAAAGTGGCTTAAAAATCGTCTGGATGGAGAGAGGACTAAAGGGACTCGACAAGCTGCATGGCCAACTCGGCGAGTCCAATGAAGATTGTCGTGCAAAGACTTATGCATAGACTCGACGAGTCAGTAGGGTAACTCAGTGAGTCAGCTAGGGTTTTCCCAGCATTTGGATATGCATGAACTCGACGAGTTTTAGGGAAAATCGACGAGTCAACTGGGGATTTCATGACTTCTCGAGTTCAGGAAGGACTCGACGAGTTGGTGAACTACACTCAACGAGTCAGTCAACATAGACTGTTGACCTGACCATTTACTTAGACTTTGACCAAGGGTTGACTAGTCAACTTCTGGGGTACTTTGGTAAATTGGAAATTTATGGAGGTGATATTATGGTAACTATAGGTGGTGGAGTTTATAGCCGGGATTCGAGAGTTTGAGTTATCACTTTGATTCGAGAATTGAGAGGTGAGTTATCCTCACTATACTAAGGGGTCGAAGGCACCAATGTCGGCCCATTGGATATGTTATCCTAGTAGTTGGTAGTATGTTGAGTATGAGTTGGTGTTGCATGCTAGTTGCTATAATAGTTTGGTAGATCTGTAGGGCTACCTGTATTATTATGTAATTATCTATATGCGCATTAGTTGTGTTATATTTCGATATATTATGTGGGTTGGTTTGAGGTTATACTGCTTCGTGTAGTAGCCAACAAACCCTAGTGTATTCCAGATATGAGCTGAGGGCCGGGCAGGGCATTCCAGACTCATACTGAGGACTCAGGAGCATTCCCGATACGAATTGAGGGCCGAGTAGGGCATGACAAACTCGTGCTGTGGGTTAGGGAGCATTTCATGTACGAGTTGAGGGCCGGGTGGGGCATACCAGACTCGTACTGTGGGCTCGATGGGAATCCAGATGTGAGATGTGGGTCCAAAAGCCAATCCAGACTCACACTATGGGCCCAGGGGTAATCCATTCTGTAAAGTTGTGGACCCAGTACATGCTGTTATTTGTATATGTGTTATGTGTAGTGTATCGGTATTTTGGGGGAACTCACTAACCTCTAGGCTTACAGTTTCAGTTTTTGGTTTTAGGTACATCAGATGATCGCGGGAAGGCAAAGGCGTGATCGTACCACTCCTTATTTTGTGTTTATGTTTCTGGGATACTCTGATATTATACCATTTTGAAAACAAATTTTGTAATGTTAATAGTTTGAAATGTTTTGAAATTTTTAAATTTGGCATGATTTTGATGGGTGTTACAAGTTGGTATCAGAGCCTTGGTTTGAGTGAATTGGAGGAACACTTGTGTGAATCCATTCTCAAACTAAGGAAAAGATTTTCAAAATAATTTTCAAAATAAACTTTCAAAATATCAAAGGAGGATGTAGGGTGTACGATCAGTTGGAGCCAATAAGTAGACCCCAAAATACCATGCAAATTATTTGATATTATGATATGTTAGAAAAGCATGCTAGTGCTAGGCTAGGAATATTCAAGAATTGCTTGATAGAATTTCCTGATTACATGATGCCTGATAACCCAGGGTTTCTTTATATTAAATTGACATCATTACTGTAGTAGCTTATGTATGCATCATGGATGTACATAATTAAGATCTTATAGACTAAGAATGTTTGGTTTGGCCTTATTTCCTGTTCTTGTTTGATGCAGGGCTTATGGTAGGATCAGATATTCGAAAGTCTATAGGGTCCAGCATTATGTATGGTTAGCATATACGAGTGCTGCAGGGTTGGTGGAAGTTTCATGTGTGGGTTGTGTGGGGCTGGTAGGTCATTTATGAGATAGTTAGCTTTCCTATAGGAGTGAGGAATGAGCGAACACCATGTATATATATATATATATATATATATATATATATATATATATATATATATTGTTAGGGTGTTGTGATGATTCTTGAGACAAATATAGGTAGGTGTGGAAGGTAGTATGGGCCCGTACTACTGAAAGTGCAAGACCCACACACGTAGCAAGGATGTCACAACCCCTAGGGTTTTAGTTAGGAGTTGGATCCCTGTTATTATGCAGATTATCTGATATCTTTCTTGTATATTTTCATAATGGTGTGTAGGAACCCATTTTTATAACGAACGGTGAATGCGGAAGTAAGATATCTCAAGATTAATCGTGTTTTTGGAAGTATGAACACGAAGAACATGATATGATTTCATACGAAAAGACTAAGAACAAGAGAGAATAATAATATATTTCATGAAGAACATGGTGGGAGAGAAACTCTCCCTGGGTGGGAGAACCCACCAACTTTCTCTCTCTAGAATTACATTGTAAGAAAAGTGTAACTCTAACTAAGAAACGAAATAAGCTAGCTAAAAGAAATAAATGACCAACTCTCCCTTTATATAGGAGGGAGAGTATTTACACCAACAATACAAAATAAACGGAAAATACAACCTAATAAACACTCATTATTTGTGGAGCATTTCCATGCACCAACATTCTCTCATTAAATTCTTACACATGATGAGAGATACAATATGTGATAAAAGGCTATAATACAGTAATCCGACTAGCAAGTGTGGTAATAAAATGAAATCAAGTGTTGAAATGTCTCTGAAACTCTGAAGTGTCTGTGAAGTCTGGAACTGGCCATGAATCTCTAACAATGAAGGTCTTCGGCTTCAAAACACTACCAATGAAGCAGAAAAGATAAGATCCAAATCTTTGAACTAGTCATAATCACCCGAAGAAGTAGGTCACCATGAGCAAGTAGAAGATCCAATAAAAGAAACACTTTGGCTTCAAAAGTCTGAAAAACATCTCAAGTTCTCGAATCATAATACACCAAAAGAATAACCTGCTAAAAATGTGAAGCATCCATAAAATGTAGTCCGGATAAAGAAAATGTGAATCCGAAAACATGGTCCAGGAATGCCAAAAATTTGATCCAATGATCAAAAATAAGTGCCACGTCACATCGCTAAAATAATCTTCATCTTAAACATATCACAAATCCAAAACCGTGAAACCATAAGAACTGAACCAGATGCAAACACAAAATCATCCTGTGGTAGAGTCCGAATAATAAATAATCTGAATCGGAAAACATCGAGTAATGCCAAAAATTTGATCCGTGAAGACCAAAAATAAATGTCACATCGCATCACTAAATAAACAAACATCTTCAAAAAGTTTTCAAAAATCCAAACTCAAACAATAATAACCAAATCCGGATGATATTCTCTCCCTATTTTTGATAACTAATGACCGGATATCAAAAATCAACAAATCATTGGATGGAGAGTGTCGGATACCAAGAGCTAATAGAGAAGCTCTCCCTAGATGTATGAAGGCTCTCGATAAGAAACGAGACCGAGTAAAAGAGATACTCTTGCGGTCATGAGGAGGCGGGTGACCTAGTTGCTGAAGCTGTGCTGAGAATAATCTGTTGTGCCAAAAATATATCCAAATATCCAAAATGCGGTGTCGGAACACTCGTAGTGGTCTTCAATAGAGAATAAAGTCCACATGCTCAAGATACATGATTCGTCAACCAAAAATCAAGAGCGCCAAGTCATAATATCCCATTAAGTGAAGAATACGAAACAACTTTGTTTATCAATCTTCGTTGCGGTGCAAGCATCACAAAAAGATAATATGAAGTCCGACTGTGGTAGGAGTATTCTTCAAATAATAATAATCTGCATTAAGTAAACCAATGTCACTATCCAAGGTGGGGTTGTGACAAAAATTAGTGTTAAAAATAATTGGTTTTAATAAAAAAAAAATTGGCTAAATAAAAATTGGTGTTAAAAAAAATTGTCTAAATAAAAAAAAAAAAAATAGCTGAAAAAAAAGGGTAAAGAAAATGAATGTTAAATAAAATAATGGGTTTTAAATAAAAAGCTAAATTGGTATTAATAAAAATAAAAGAGTATTAAAAAAATGTCTGAGAAAAAAAGACTGCACTGGTAAAAAAGTGTCAAAAGTTGTTAAGTTGAGGACCCACTGCATTGGGGACCGAAGTTTAGAGGCTGAAGGGTGAAGTCTTCGGTGTAGGAGTGGCTACTCTGCGGTATCTACCGATGTGTAGGGGCTAAAAAAATATAACTCCGGTAGGGAAGGCGCTAACTGCGGTGTTTTGTTTTTGTTTTTTTTTTTGTTACAAATGGTCTCCGGTATTGGGTTGAAGAATGAAAATGGGACCGTAGTGCTTTGCTAGGAGTTGTGGTACCGAGGTTTGTTTTGTCTTGGGTTTTGAAATGGGTGAAAAAAAATAAATAAAATAAAATAAAGTAAATAGTGATG